TTAGATTTTGGCTATGACAAATCAAGCTGCTTGAATATTGTGTATTAGTTTTTGTGTGAGTATGTCTTCATTATCTGTCATAAATTCCCAGGGGTGTTATTGCTGGAACAGAAACTAATTGCACATTTAGCTTTGAAAAAATTTGACCTTTTTTTTTGGAGTGACTGTACCTCTTTACATTATCCCAATTAAAATATAAGTGATCTAATTTTTCTGATTTTTTTTCGAATTTGGTGTCATTATTTTAAAAATTCTTATGCATTCTGACAAGCATACAGTGATACTTCAGTGGTTTTAGTATTCATTGCCCTGATGACTATGAATGTTGACTATTTCTTCTACTTATCGTCTTTGCTGAAATGTATATTCATGTCTTTTGGACATTTTTCAATTGGGCTTTTTTTCTAAGCTGTTGACTTTTGATAATTCTTTATATAATTTCTAAACTAGTCCTTGTCAATATTTGATCTACAAATATTTTCTTACAGTTTGTAACTTGTCTTTTTATCTGTTTCACAAAAGCATTGGCAGAGAAAAAGTATAAGTTTTGATGAGGAGTAATTGATCATTATTTTCTTTTAGGTATGTATCATGCTTTAGGTGTCAAGTCTAAGAACTCTGTGTTGAGCCCTAGGTCCTGAGAGTTTTCTCCTATAACTTTTTTTCTAAAAATAATATAGTTCTATGTGTTACATTTACATCTGAAATCTATTTCTATTTAGTTTTTTATAGCTCCAGCATCATTTGTTGACAGGTTCTCTTTTATTAAGTGCTTTTGCATTTTTATCAATAATTGGTTAAAATATATCTCTGTAGATAGAGATATATAATATAGATATCAATATGTATCGATATATTTATTGACATATTTTTTGTACCTGTTTGTGTTGGGTCTATATTTTGATCTATATACTTTTTTCATTTATGTATGTGTTCATTTCTTTTTCTAGTACCACATAGCATTTAATTAATGTAGCTATATAGTAAGCATTAATATCAAGTAGACTGATTATTTTCTCTTCATTCTTCTTTGTCATGATTATTTTAGATCTTCTAGTGTATGTGCATTTCAATATAAATTTTAGCATAACCTTGTCTATATCTGAAAAAATTTTTCTGAGGTTTCAACAGAAATTACATTAAACATATCTTTCAATTTGGGGAGAGCTGATATCTTTATCATGCTGAATATTCTAATTCATGAATATGATATGTCTTTCCATATACTTTGATTCTTTGATTTCTTCAGTCAGCATTTTATAATTTTCAACATACAGATCCTGTGCATCTTTTGTTATGTGTATACCACATATTCATTTTGCGGAGTAATTCTAAAATGTATTTCTAAATTTTGGTATCTCCACATTCATTGTTAGTATATAGAAATGAGATTGCATCTTTTGTGTTGAATTTGTTTCTTGGGACCTTGCTGAATTCATTTATTGTTTCTAGGTTAAAAAAATAGATTCATTGGAATTTTCTATGTAAGCAATTATGTTTTCTGCAAATAAGAATGCCCTTATTTCTTCTATTACAATCTGTTTGCATTTAATTTTTTAAAATCTACTTATTGCAATGGCTAGAACTTCCAGTGCTATTTTGAATAACAGTAGTAAGCACAGATAGCTTTGCCTTAAAGAAAAAAAAATCCAATCTTTTGCCATTAAAGTGTGATGTGACTTATAGTTTTTTTTGAAGGTACACTATGAAATTGAGTTAGTTCCCCTCTATTCCTAACTTGCCAAGAATTTTACCTCATAAATATGTGTTGGATTTTGCCATATGCTTTTTATGCATAATTGATATGATCATATAATTTTTTTCTTTAGTTTGTTGATATGTTGAACTACATTAATTGATTCTAGAATGTTGAACAAGCTTTGTATTCCAGTAATAAATTCTACTTGGTCTTAGTGCATATTTTTAAATACATTGTTGAATTTCATTTGTTAATATTTTGTTGAGAATTTTTCTAAGTCCATAAGAGATATTTGTTAGTAGTGTTCCTTTCTTATTGTCTTTGTCTGATTTTGGCATAAGAGTAGTAGTGTATTCATATTACTATAGTAATACAACATCATAAAAAAAAGTGAGCAAGTTTTTCCTTCTCTATTGTCTGTTCTAGAAGAGATCATGCAAGATTTCTGTTAATTCTTTAAATGTTTGGCAGAATTTTCCAGTTAAATCATTTGGGTCTGGAGATTTTTTGGGAGGAAGTTTTACTACAAATTTAATTCATTTAATAATTTCAGGACTACTTGGATTATCTATTTCAGCTTGGTTGAAGTTTTGTAGTTTGTGGTTTTTGGGGAATTGGTCCATTTATTTTAAGGTGTCGAATTATGAGCAGCAGGTTTTTAAAATTATCTTTTTAATGATTGCATTATCTTTAATAATGCCTTTTGTTTTATTCCTAACAGTGATTTGTGTCTTGATTCTTTTTATTTTGTCTGTCTTGCTAGACAACATGGTTTATCAATTTTATTGTTTTTTATTCAAGAATCAGATTTTTGTTTAATTTTCTATCATGTTCTTTTATTAAATTTCATTAATTTCTGCTTTGTTCTCTCTCTCTCTCTCTCTCTCT